GGGGCAGAAAATCAAAACAACAAAAATCCAATATGGTGGCGAAATTTATCTTGTATAAATAACAAACGTGGACGAATTTAACTAAATTTACAAGAATGAGTTTAAAAACATAGTATGGCACTATGACAAAAAGAGCCTGTGGAAAATACCTGGAAACAGTTTTAAGAAATAATCTTGGCGGGATCCAGCGAAATGTGATTATGCAAGTATGTTATAATAGGTACAATTTAAGATTTTCTTACCCTAAAATATGTTGTTTGAGTTTGCATGAATCATGTTTTCTTGTTTCCGTTATGTGAATTTATGAATTTATGATCATTTTCCAAGTTTGTTTATGCCAAATTGCTTACAAAAGAATTGAAAAAGTCTTGCCAAAATGCGCTTGAATTTTAAAGAAAGCGATCTTGTCATGCATATAATAAATAAATACGGCGGCTCGTTCAATTTTGGCACATTTGTCAAATATCACTCGTGGTGTTAATTAATCGATATCATTAATTGCACTCCTTCCCGTGTGATTACCTATACGTATATTTTAAACCTAACTTCCTTAATTTAATTTGGACCGAACAAAGTCTCAAAATTGGAGTCGCAACCTTAAGTGATTGAAAAAGCATGCATGTAGTAGGTTATTTCAATCAGCCATATACCTAATATAGATTAATATTCTATGTCGGTAAAGCATATTGCGTACTAGCGCCACAAAATATCATGGGGAGAGGAACATTTTTGGGGTATATGACAGTGTGGAAGCGAACTAGTGGAAAGAGTATAAGGACTGTCAGTTATTTCCATAATTGGTTAATTAACTGACCTGAACAAATTTGTCCGTTTCCATCGTACCCATTCGGGCAATCCCCACACGTGAAACCGGTTGGAGAATTAGTGCATGTGACCAAAGCATTACAAGATGGTGTCAATCCTCCCGCACAGAAATCTCTCACTTCTCCACAGAATTCCCCGGTATAACCAGGAGGACAATTGCATGACATAACAAGAAAAGTATTTTCGATTGCTGCCTCCTGTTCTGATGTAGCTTCAGGAACAAAACATTCACCACCGTTTTCACATCGGCAAAGTTGAATATTTGGAGAAAGTGTTGAGCTACCGTTTTTCGTATCTTGAACCAAAAATGTTAAATTAACCTGTAATAGGAGTAAGACAATTAAAAATTTATATATAAAACGGCTTTGAGCATTATTTTAAAATACCACAGCAATTGCGAGTATTAGCTGCAGTGTGATGAAAAGTTCTGTCCAGAAATAACCTAATAATAAAAACCGCGGTTTATACCTTAGGTTAGACCTAGCATGTTAAACCTAGCTTAGAGAGAGATTAGATCGAGGTTTGACCGAGGTTGATCACTGCCGCCCGCAACGACAGCTTTCGTCTTAATTAGGCTAATGCTCGGAAATTTGCGATCGTTTCCGAGTTTGCCCGTTTCACTATGAAAACATTATTTATTTCATTTTTCAACCTGTAGCTCCCGGTGTTTATTACCGTTCTAAATTTCAGCCTTTTCTTTTTCCTTTTTAATACTCGGGAAATGTAACTTGAGAGAATATTTGAGTAGCGCTACGCCTGGATCGTGTTTTGCACGCTTAGTTCGTATTCTCCAAACACTCCCTCGTGCATCTTCAAAACTATAATTTAAACGCACGTGACTCGTTTTATATTTCTTAAATTATCATTATACTGTTAGAGTATCATCATTTTGCTTGGTGATTTTATTATATACAATATATGTTGATTCTTGATTTTCGGACATCTCGGTTTGCAATTGACAACTGAAGACGGAGTTATATTGAGCTTTTTCAATTAGGGTTGTCCCCGAGCAAAGCGGAAAAGTCGAATCGCGCTCGTATCCGAATTTTTCGCTTTCCTCGAGAACAACCCAAATTGTATATGTGTCAAAGAAAACACACACATTGAGCGTATTACATGCAAGGTCCGGATCCTAACTTTAGCGAATTATTTGTATGTACTGTAAGATCGGACTACACATGTTTATTACTCGGCGACACATTTACATTACAGTCATGAAGTAATATTAATATTTTAAGTGAGTTGATTACAGTTATGGACTCTAAAAATACCGTGGTTAAAAATTTCCTAGTTAATTAATGTAAAATTAACCCAGCTCGGGGTAACTTAATTCCTGGTTAAATTTTTATAAGTAATAGCATAGAAAGAGGCGAATTAGCTATTAAAACGTCCCGCCCGATGAGGGTCGTTTAGTAAAATTCCCTTGGGTGCCGCTCGATGAGGGTCATTTAGTAAAATTCTCGAGGGCCTTCGGCTTCATTTTTTCTAATCGTACCCGCTTTGACGTCGTTTCGGGTAGGATTACAACTAATTCTACCTGACATGACGTAAAAGCTGGTAGGATTAGAAAAAATGAATATAATGAGGTGTATTAGTTATTAATTGCCCTGCGAGAACAAAGGGAATACCCGCAATCATGATATTATCTTGTTAATTTACCCACAATCCAGCTGGTTAAGTTTGATCATGATGCATAGTCCGGGATTGCTGCATGGTTAATTTTACCAGCCCATGCATGTGATTAAATTATCCAGGAGATTTACGCAGGGTTTTAGAGAGGAAATGAAAGGCGAGTGATCGTATTTTTAAGTGCGGGGTTTTTTTCTTGCGCGGTCTTTTACGGTTTGTGTCGGTCCACCTCGACCAAACCGGAACGGAACCGCAAAGCCGAACTATACAATTATTTCTGGACTGTCCTTACACAACTATCTGAAATATATAAGCGTTAACGAAACTTAAATAAACTCTTCGAGCGAAGGCCTTTCGTCGAGAAGTTAATACACGAATCGCGAAATTCGATTGCGCATCCAAATGACGCGTTCTGAGTCGGGGAAAGCCCGAATTCAAAGAAAAACATGTATAGCTGTGACTGGATGATTTAAAATATGCGTACGAAAGTACTCAAATGTTCGGGTAGCCTCGCAGTAGCTCGGAAGGGTGATTTTCATTGGCTCGATTTGACAATTGCTTTTCTGTTTACAACAATGAAAACCTTCGTTCTTTAGAAAATCCCCATCCAATTGGAGACGACCTTCCGAGGCACTGCGAGGCTTCCCAAATGTTCAGCCATGCATTCGTGTTGTATTATAGTAATATGTAATCATGAATGCATGAGCGAACTGCGAACATTTCAATACTTATAAATGCGAATATTTTAAATCATCCAGTCGTAGCTACATGTCTTTATTTAACTATGATTTTTGCCCGAAATTCGCGATTCGTGTATAGCATGGGTTGGCAAAACCTCATGCGCTCTTATACTAGTTAATATAAAAGCAATCAGATAACGAAAATAAACTATGAAGATAGATTTAGTCAAAACTGAAAGTGTAAACAAGCGCACATTAATTTTAATGTAAACAAGCACACAAATCACATTAATATTACCATTTATTTTTTTATTTGTGCATGCCTAGTGATATTTTTGATTTCCTGCAATCTGATTGGCTGCAGCAGAGGACAGCTTTTTACAATATCTTAGCCGTGGTGCAAAAGAGTTATTTTTTAATTTAGCGACAAACCGAGAAGTGAAGACAATTTTCAAACTCGAAACACTACCCAAAAAGTTTAAAAATGCACCCTATCGATACTACTGTAAAGACTTTAAAATACGGTGAATTGGCTTCAGTGTACTTAGTGCCAAGCCCGAAATGTGCTTTTCTCCGACCAAACTGCGAAAAACAAATATAAACAGCTAAAAACACTGGCCAGTGCTACATATTTTGATTCAAATGTTCCACATATATTCAACTATTCTTCGAAAAGATACGTATAAATATAAATACAGTAGTACAACATACAACTTGTCCTTAAACATAAAATAAAACACCTTAAATGGCAGTTTCATTAAAGACGATTCCTGGGCTTATTTTGTCAAAATTGTTTTTATAAATGTTGTATTAATGAACAAATTGTTTTTCGGCAACTAAAATTTGTATTTTCCTGTCAAAAAGCATTTTTCAAGCATGTCCATGCTGTAAAACGAATCGGAAAATAAATATTTTTACTTAGTCGTTTACC